ACGTATAAACATATAATACTCCAAGTTACTCCACAGAGTTATCAACCTTTCCTTCAACCGAACACAATTTAAGTTATCAGTTATTATTACTTGACTTCGTCACAACTAACTTCTCATTGAAGACCATTAGGCCATCGTCTTAACTTAACATCTCATCCTCACAAACCTTCCTAGATGAATATTTAATCAATCCATCAGTACTAAACAAGTTGCTATTCCTTTCACATAGGGTGGGAATCCCAAATAAGCTTCACAATTTTCGTGAAACCCAAAATCCATATTATCACTCTTGGTGAACACACACTACAGAATGCTCCGAGATCACACCTCATAAATCATTCTCATGATGCCTCATATCTACTATTCGATTTGACATATTATTGTCCACTTAAAAGTACTTGACATCACATCTTACGTTTCTCACATGGCACATTTTCACTTGTGCGGTAACATAAATCATCTCTTTTATACCAGCAGTCATCTCAAAATAGGATACTTCCTTGTATCATAGTCCTCATAGAATAGAACAATAGTCTTCGGGAACATAATCCGCACAGAGGTAAAGAGTCTTTGGGAACATAATCCGCACAGAGATAATCATATTCTCCGGGCACATAAGCCGCACAAAGATAATCATATTCTTCGGGAACATAAGCCGCCCAGAGATAGTAGCATCCAGTCTTATAACGTGCACCCAGTGCATAGGGAAACTCATATTTATAATATATCCGTATATAACGGCAAAATGTGTACCAAGTACACTCCAAATCACACATGGACCCAACCCATTTGGTGTCTGTATCATATCTGTATATAACGGCAATATGTGTTTCGTATATTCACATGGGGCTACCCCCAATAATAATAGTAGTAGTGGTAGGATATAAACATACTACATATATGTATAATTCATTATAACTTCCTCGATTATTCTCCCCATAGATAGTTTACTCTTTCATTTTGATTAGTCATCTGACATGATTTATAACACAATCACTATTACATGAATTCATATTCTTCTCAGACTTTTGTACATATTTCATAACTCTTAATAATTCCTATATTCTTTTTCAATTCTAATCCATTGCTTATTATGGCTTACATAACTTATGTTCAACTGTAGAGCAACCCATTAATTTCCTTGCTCATTTTTCCTCTTGGTGGTTGTAGAATATACCTTACATCTAAAATATCTCTACTCCGTCTATTAATCCTTCAATACCGTATATCAATCCTTATATATGTCACGAGGAATGCCATCATTTACTGGTTCACATTGTTAGCACACCAAGGCCATCTGATGAGTCCCACTTCAAACAGTATCCACCTGGGACTTCCAAGAGTCATACTTCTTGGGATCCAATCCCCAAGGGAAGCGCAGAACAATTTCACGATCACGACATTTATGTGCAGGTACTCAGGCCAACTCAAGGTATACGTATACTGGCACTTAGGCCATCATAGGATCATTATCCATTTATTCATTCCTGATATGGACTGACAATCAGTCCATTACGTATAATCCATCTATTCTTTACGGATATCCACTGTCATTTAAGTTTGTCCATTGGCATGTAAGCCTATACAATGGCATATAAGCCCATTATGTTCATAGACATAATATTCAGTGGGTACTTCCAAGAGTAGTCTTTAATGTTGGCCTACTCTTTGGTCAACACCACCTGACAATCCTCACAGGGTATTGCTCCAGGGGAAGTCCCGTCCCCACTACTAGGAGACCATATCCATATGTATATACTATATTTTCCCCAATTCATATCAATTATCAGATTATTTCACAAGCACACTACTATTAGTAGTATATATATTTACCACCGGATCCTAATTTCTTATATAATTTTCATTACTATTTTACGTAAGATTATACAATTCAACCATCCTATCCATTTATCAATGGCAAGTCTGCCAATTAGAATCGACCTCCATTAACTACAATAGTTCCTTCATTGTACATTTATCTCGTGTCATCCATGGCGATTCTCTCAACTTCTTCGTTATACACATAATACATAATCAATTCATCTCACCTATATTTATTCAATACTATATCCTTATGGATTTAAATTCCCTATTTCAATATATCTCAAATTAACACATCACTAACATAATCATTCCAAGTGGTCACATCTCTCAAGTTCAAATTTCAAATATTCAATTCATTCCTCTACATTAACCATCTCATTTCATTCAAGTGTACGACATCAAATCAGGGACTTATAACTTTATAGTAAAACATCAAAATATTCAAGCTCATACCTAAGCATACATGTTCATATTTTTCAGTAATTCATCAGGTTCTAAGTCACTCACCGTAATGAAGTCTAAACTATATTAAATTGATAAATAATTTTGGAACTCTATTAAATTGATAAAAAATTTTAAATTATATTATTTCAGTGAATAAAAAAAAGTCATGACATAGTATAAAATAAATTTTTTATTCTCTCAATTAAATTTAATATTTGACAACAGATGCTTTAATTATAGTTTAGGAAAGTTAATTGCAAAGTACCTTTTTGAAACTATGTATTTTCTGTATTAATGCTTGAATTTAGTCAAATAATGTTTGAATTTTGTAACTTCTAATTTTATATTATAATTTATTCTTGGAAAAAAATGTTTCTCCTGAATGAACAGATACATTTTCTTAGGGTTTAGGAAAAAAATATAAGATATTTTTGAAATTTTATTTTTCTCTTGTATCATAAATTTTATTAAAATATCTTGCATTTTTTTCTTCAAATTCCAAAATAAAGTCATTTTGGGATTGTAGTAAATAACTTTATGTTTTTTGTTTTTTGTTTTTGGTAAACAATAACTTTGTCTTTTATCATAGGAGAAACGTTAATCCTTTTCTTTTTTAAGTACATACTGAATTTTTTTGGTTTTCACCCTCGGTAAATCTCATATGTTTGACTCTTTTTGAACCACCTTATGGACTAATCTAGAGTTCAGAGCGAGTTAAGGATTGAAGTCTTATATCTCTTCCCAAGGTGGCATAAGGAATGACAAAAGGAGCCAAGTAACCCGCAAAAAATAAGTTGGGTTGGGTTGGCAAAAATGAGTTGACAACCTGACCCGAGCTAACTCGAAAAAAATCGAGCCAATCCATAAGTCAAATGGGTCAGCTCGCGAGTTAAGTGTTTATTTTTTTAATTAAAAAATACAAAAAAATAATATCAAAACCCAATCTGCCTCACTTTCTTTCTTTTCTTACCACTGCAAACCGGTGAGTATTGAGAAAGATAACATCAAAAAACATAATATCACAATATTATGTTTGCTAGGCCAAGATCATATACACAACCATATTGTTTAGTATTGAGAAAGATATTTGAGGATATTGCCATGTACAAGTTTCCCACCATTCTCGGAATGGATATGAGCAAGGCCTCGTGCAGCACACAAAGCTATTTTGACCCGAGTATCCCAATCTAAAAGCCACCCTTTCATCTCCTCTTTTACCTGAAAGTTTCACAAAGCATCAGAGTTGAAAAACTTAAAGACATTATAGTTCTGAGGTGTGTTGTATATATGTACAGTCTGTATTTCAAACTTCAAATCTTATGCTATATAATCAATTTTTTCGAGCCAACCGCTTAGCCAACTCTAACCCGGTTCAGGTCGAGTTTTTTGGCTTTTTTTATTTTTGAGTCAACCCTAACCCGGCTCATTTTTTTCGATTACACACGGGTTGGGTCGAGTCAAGCCGGGTTGACCCGTTTTGCCAACCCTAGTGGCATTGGTGGAAGTTAAACCGAGGTGTTTTCCTACCCACTCAGCTCCATTGCACCAATTTATATATTGTAAAAACCCGAATTTAAAAATTAAAACAATGGAGTCACCACCAATTTTATTTAAATGAAAAAATTGGAAAATCTTTTGTCGCAAACTGGTCTTTTAAAATTTTTATATCAAGGTTCAGGAGTCTAATTATGCACAGGAAATGGTGGAAACTTAATCCTACTGCACCCCTGACACATCCGTTTAAAAACGGTTAACTTAAATTAATTGTGATTATTTTGGAAGAATAGAAATAATTTATTAAACTTTATTTTAGCTTGACGGAAAGAGTTCCGCTCTGACGTATCCTCAGGTGCAGTGAGGAATTCAAAGCTACGTCATTCTTGGAAAATATTTGTGTACTAGTAGGTTTTAATTTTTGAAAATAATTTTAAAGAAATTCATTTTAAAGGCTTCGTATTATCAAGTTATCACAATTAAAACAACCCGAAAAATACTATGAGATTAACAAGCCATCACAGCTAAATTAATCCTTGATTAGGAAAATAAATAAATTAATACAAAATAATAATTTAAAACTAGCTTAGGTCATCAAGTTGTCACAACCAAAATGACCTAAAAAAATTATGAGATTAACAAGCTGTCGCGACAAAATTGATCCTTGATTAAGTTTCTAAACTACATAAAAAAAATTCTAATGAAACAAATAAAGAGCACAAAAATATACAAAAGTAATAAATAATTATAAGAAAATTTCTAATAAAACAGAAAAAGAGCATAAAAAAGCATGTAAATAAATAGACAATTATAAATTAAAAACTAAATAAAGAGCATAAAAATTAGACAATTATAAGTTAATAAAGAAAATAAAGTGCATGAAAAAACATACAAAAATAAACAATTGTTAACTTAATTTTTCTTAAGATAATAATTGAAAGAGAAAAAAATGTGTTCATAACGTAATTTTTTTGTTTTCTTTTTATTTTATTTTATTTTTTGTATTCTTGTATTATTTTTTTAATATTTGAAACAAAATTGAATGTTCACACGTATCATTAATGGGTTTTATTCAAAAGAAAATAAATAATAAGATAGTGCGTTGCACGGGTAAGTATACTAGAAAGTTCAAAACGAGAGTATACTAGAAAGTTATATATGCAAAAGCCAACTGTGCTGGTTCTTTCAGCTGTCTCAGATCTCAATACCAGTGTTTGTGAGCAGAAGGGGCAGTTTTGTCCAATAATATAATTTAAAAGAATATGACCCAAAGGAGAATAGTAACAAACGCTAGCCGAACCAAAATATTAGGGGCTACTGGATTCGATCCACGCCTCTCTTTGAGTTGAGCCCAGTGTTTGTGTTTGTCTGTTTGTGTGAATTACTGCGCGTCACAGTCTCTCTATCTTTTTGCAATCTTCATGCATTATGCAAACCAGATTCTGATTCATTCCGATTCCCCGTTTGTTTCCCGAGAAATTTTCTGAAACCACGATGCTGATGGATTGGATTCAACGACTCAGCTTACTTGACTGGCACCATGAATCTTACCCCGTCTACCAGGATTTCTACCTTCTCCCCTTCTTCGCTCTCTTCTTCCCCTCCGTGCGCTTCTTGCTCGACAGATTCATTTTCGAGGTACCTTCTCTTCCTCCATTTTTGTACGCATTTTCTTAAAGATTCTATTTTTTAACTGTTTTTTTTTTTCTCTTTTCGTAACTTTTGTGGCGTGTTTCATGGATTATTATGAACCGATTAATCGAGATTTTTGTTTTGTTTTGTTTTGTTTTGTTTTTTTGTTTATTTATTTTTTTTGCTTCCTTTGTATGCCAGTCGTTGAGTAGCAATTAGATTTGTGAACATCGGTTTTTTTCATAATTCTGGAATGCCATTGGCTTAAAACTTCAAACTTTATATTCCTGATACGTTTTAAATTTTCCTTTTTAATACGCAAATAGTGCCTTTGACTTTATAATCTAACGTGATAGTTGAATTTTGCACAAATTTGGAGTATATAAATAGGTGTGAGCATTTGTGTGATTAAAAAGGTTGTTTCTATAGCGTCACCATTAACACAGTTTGGGTGTAAGACTAATCACTGTTGGGGCATCAACCTAGCCTGGCCACAAGATGATTCAGGCTGATTTCGAATCCCTGAAGTCCACCTACGTAGAGATCAGCCATATCTCGTGCTTTAACATTACCATTTTAGTCTTCTCTTTTGTGACCTCCCCCCCCCCCCCCCCCCCCCCCCCCCCCCCCTCAATTACTTTAATTATCAGTCATTAGATCTTATAATAATACCGTGTCTTCTGTCTCCTATAGTGTTGCCTGAACTGTTTGGTATAATGGATTTATAGGAAGTATCGTGTAACTTGAACATTTAAAAATAAAGCAATATCTGGATGCATCAGTATTTTTTTTTCGCGTTTATTTTTCTTATGCATAGATGGAAGAACTACTTTTAAGTCTTTATGTAGTTGTAAGTGATTTACATTCCTACTGTATATAATTTTGGAAATAATATAAGCTTTTTTTTCTTTTCCTCTCTGCCAGAAATTAAATAATACATATTTCTTTTCAATTTCGAAGTCTTAGTTTGCTATCAGTTTTTGATTATGCCAAAACTACCCTTTGTTGGGTCCATTTGGTGGACAGGATTGCGGAGGTAGGATAGGGCAGGATAAGTTGTCATATTTTACTTTATCCATTGTTTGTTGAACACATGGGATATGATAATCCCAAGATGGGGCTTGGGTAGAATTCGACAAGTTAGGGTAGGAAATTCTTCTTCCAAACCTAACTGTCTGCCTCCTTACATAGTTGTCAATAGCAGTTAGCGGCCGGTAGCGGCCGACCCCGAAAATGGTATAGCGGTGTAGCGGGTAGTGGTATTACCGCTACGGTGAAGTATTAATTCCACATATATTATACTAACAGTCAAGAAACGAGGCAATACTGCTTTTAGTAATAATGCTCAAACATAAGAAGTCACACAAAATCAAACACATAATTCCACAATCAATGTCAAATACAAGGAACATAAAGGAAGGATCCAAAATTAAACACAACTGAACAATAAAATTGTCAAATAGTCAAGTACAAGAAGTGAACTAATAAAGAAAATCATCATCATCTCCGGATTCTCCATCAAATTCCAACATAGGAGTGGTGTAGCGGTGTAACAGGTAGACGTATTGCTGCTACGCTACGCCGCTACCTTCCGCTACGGCCAATGTCGCGTAGCGTCGCGGTTTGTAGCGGCCGACCGCCGCTACCCGCTACGGTAGCAGTTTAGCGGCGCTACGGGCCGCTACTGACAACCTAGCCTCCTTAAGCTTCCATAAGAACACGATAGCTAGTCTTGCCACCGCCACTCTACTACCATTGCCACCGGCTCTCCATCACCGCCATCATCAACCGCTAGCCAACACCACTATCGTTGCCATCATCACCACAGACCTGTAGCCACCACCAGCATCACAAACCGCTGCAACCATGGCATGCATGTTTGGAAAAAAATTTCATTAATTTTCAGCAAACAACAAATCTCTAACTTTATCCAAATATTATTACCTACATAAAAGTTGGCAATCAATTTAAAACTTATTTTTAAATTTTTTTTGGGTAAAGGTATACTTTTTTTATTTTGTAAGTTATTTTATATGTTGTAATATATTTTATTTAAAATTATGACTTATATTTAAAAAAAATAAAATTAAAATAGGAACTAATCTACAAATAAGTCAAAAGAAAAAAGTTTAATATCAATTTTAAAAAATAATATAAAATTATGTTATAAAGGATATTTATGTCTATTTATATTATATCTCGACTCTATCTAGTTCCCTACAAATACGAGATAGGACAACATAATCATATCAGACCACTTATCTAATGCACATTAAACATGAGACAGGATATGAGCTTATTAGGCGCTTATCATTTCCTACTCTTATTCCACCCTCTCATCTTATCTGCCTTTATCTTGTCCTGTCCACCAAATGAACCCTTTATGTAGTTGTAAGTGATTTACATCCCTACTGTATATAATCTTGGAATTAATATAAGCTTTTCTTTTCTTTTTCTTCTCCATTACTTGTTTGTCTATGCCAGAAATGAAACAATAAATATTTATTTTCAATTTTGATGTCTTAGTTTGCTACCAATCTTTTATGATGCCAAAAATACCCTTTGCTGTGTTATGGTCATTCTCTACTTTTATAAATTTCTTTAGATTTTTTCTGGTTATATTTATTCAACCTGAAGTGAATGACATTTACAGAAAATGGCTGGACGATTGATTTTTGGTAAGGGACATGCGATGCTGGACTGTGAGACAGATGAGAGAAGAAAGAAGATTAAGAAATTTAAGGAATCAGCCTGGAAATGTGTTTATTTTCTATCAGCTGAGATTCTTGCTTTGTCTGTAACTTATGATGAACCTTGGTTTACTAATACAAGAAATTTTTGGGTGGGGCCAGGGAATCAGGTCTGGCCAGATCAAAAGATTAAGTAAGATTATTTCTTCACATGCCCAATAATTGTGGTTATTCAGTTGCAATGTTTAATCTATTTTTGTAATCACTTGTCCTTTAGATGAATTTTTTATTAAACTTAAGTTCGTTGATAGAGTAGTACCCTTTTAACATTTCAGGTTGAAATTGAAGGCAGTCTATATGTATACTGCTGGATTTTATTCATACTCCATTTTTGCTTTAATATTTTGGGAAACAAGGCGCTCTGACTTTGGGGTATCCATGGGTCATCATGTTGCAACTGTCATTCTCATTGTGTTGTCTTACATTTTTAGGTATGTTTTCGTTGACTTCTGTCTGTTTTGTCATCCTAGATTTTTTGTGATGTTTAATGACTTTTTTTCAATATTATTTTGTAATTGTTAAATTTGTCTGAATTCTTTATTAAAAGAGTTGAATGTGTGAAGTCCTTCAAATGTCTCAGTTGTTTCATTTAACTAATGTCATTTTTCATGTTGACCTCATCGATAAGAGATATGTCATATAAGGAATTTTATTAACTTACTCGGTCTTAATGGAAACAGAAGGTGAAATAACATTTTAAAATTTTAAGCAACCTTTTTAACTACACACACACAATAGAGGGGGGGGGGGGGGGGGGGGGGGGGGGGGGGGGAGAGAGAGAGAGAGAGAGAGAGGGTGAAAATTGTGGACCAAATGTCCACACGTTCTATTTTATTTCAATATACTTCACTATGATAATGTTCTATTACAGTATTGTGTTTCTCTTCTATGTTTAATACATTCAGGTTTGCTCGTGTTGGATCAATTGTTTTAGCACTTCATGATGCTAGTGATGTGTTTCTGGAGATAGGGAAAATGTCCAAATACAGTGGTGCTGATACATTGGCTAGCTTTACATTTATTCTATTTGTTTTATCTTGGATCATATTGCGCCTCATTTACTACCCATTCTGGATTCTTTGGAGCACAAGGTTTGTATTAATTCAGTTTCCAATTTACATTATATTTCCTTCTGTTCTCTGTTATATTTTCTGGTCTTCACGTGTTCTTTATGAGGCTTCAAATCTAACCGTAGTACACTCTGAAAGGACGACGACCCCTTGTTGCTCTTCAGATTCAAAAAGCTGTGATCTTTTGCTGAGATTTACACTTTTTTCTCCATACGTTCTTAACAAAATGGAAGCTTTACTGGTTTAGTATTTTTGTCCCATAAATTTTCTCTTATTTCTCGCCTCTTTGATTTTTCATGATAACAGCTAGCTTTTTATGTATACTGGTGCCTTTAACTAAAATTAAATGCTTCTAGAATCTTTTTGGCAATTTAGATTATTTATTGGGGAACAATGATTCAGTGCCTGATACTTTTGTCGAGCAGTTACAGTATCCATCCATGTCAATGCATGCATGTTATGCTCCAATACTTCATTACTCAAGTGAATACTTTAATCAATTGTAAATAGTACTGGAAAAGAAAAGAAAATAGATATATGTACTATTTTAAGAAAATTCTGAAGCCATTTTCTTGATTAGTTTCTCTAGAGGCTTTGTCAATTCTTGGCACTCTCTTCCTGGCCTTATCTCATTTAAAAAGTATTGTTTCACACCCTTTGGTTCTGATGACATCCAATTGCCATGGAGATTCTCATTTGGACTGCTTATCTGGCAAAATCTGATTGGATATTCTCTTCCTATCTGCATCATTAGATTTACCTCCGGATCATTGCATTGTTGTTTTTTATTTTTTTTTTCCCAGTCTCTGCGAGAATTGTCTCTAGCATTTTCAAATTTTGAATGGAAATGACATCAGGATTTATTTATATGGACTTATTGGCCTGTTCAACTGGTCTGATCGGTTGTTCCCATGTTCTTAAAGATGGATTTACTATATAATGCAGGTTTGCTTTTAAACCAAAAGTTAAGTGTGTTAGGGATTTGTAGATTTATCAACAATCCTTATTCTGAAAAAATTTGTCAATCCATCGATTTCATGCTCTGATGTTTAATACTGTCCATTATCAATTGTTCTTTTTAGTTATTACTAGACATGTTCATTTCTGACCTGTGAATATCAAAGATACAAGCAGTCACATATGACTGGGGTTATTAGTTTTCAATGTTTTGATTGGTTTGATGTAGAATTCATTAGAAAACATTTTGGAACTTCCATCAAGGAGATTTTTAGCTGTCTTGTCTGATCTGAATTGTAAAACAAAATTTGTCCACATGGGAAAGTTTCTAATTAAAGTTGCTGCACTAAAATTTTTGTTTCTGTCTCTAGAGAAATTTCAATAATTCAGTATAAGGAGTAATACTAGAGCTGTTCTTTGTTTATAAATCATTGCATTCCTTTTTCAATTGTTTTTCTTTCTTCTCTTTTTGTCAGCTATGAAGTTCTGCTCACCTTGGATAGGGAAAAGCACCGAGTGGATGGTCCAATATATTATTATGTATTCAATAGTCTTCTATACTGCTTGCTTGTTCTGCATATTTATTGGTGGGTGTTGATATTTCGGATGCTTGTCAAACAAATCCAAGCAAGAGGAAAAATTAGTGAAGATGTTCGATCTGGTAAGTTGAAAGGTGTATTCTGTGTGGCTTCCTGATGTAAGCTTTTGATCAAAAGAGCAATCTTTTCAAAAATTTGTTCCTGCTTTGTATCTGCATATAAGAAGACGAAAAAAGTAAGAATGTACTATGATTGTTGAAGTTTCGCCTAGAGTTATTGTCAACTCAGTCCGGAATATGGATTTATAGTGTAGGTTGAGTTGACTTTGCCTGGGTCATATAGTCTTTTCCTTTAATTCCTTCACACACAGTGGGGATACGGAAGGTATTAATTGACAAAAAATATGATGTTAGGACATCTTTGTGACATAATCACTTTGATGTGTTTATCATAGAATCAGAAATTAATTGTGTTATATTCAATCAATCACAATTGCTGTAGTTGCAGTAATTGCTTTAGTCTGTAAAGTTTTAACCTCAGTAGCAATTTGTATTGCTTAATATGAAATTTCTTTAATTGGTTATCTGACTGTTAACTGCTGCATTTTCTTTATGCAGATTCAGACGATGACGATGAACATGAAGATTGAGTAGGAAAGCAAGAGCATAATATAATCTTAAGGCTAAGGTGAATTTAGAACGTTGACAAGTTGTTTTACACCCTAGACATAATGATCATAGTCATATTTTAATAATATCAAATTGTCCATATTTTATTTTGTAAAAAAGTCAAATTATTTATAACTAAATTGTAAACTAAAGCAGCTTATCAAGTTTTTTCTACTAATAGTTCATTCTAACAATTAAAGCTTATAGGAAACTTCACAAAGAAAATGGTTTAAGCCTTTACCTCTTTCTCTCTCTCTTTCAATATGCGTTTTGAACTTTTGTGTAATCTTTTGTGCTAGCATAACCTCATGGTACTCTAGCATTTGAGGCAAGATAAATAATTTAAATTTCATGTTTCTTAGGTGTTGAGATACAGAGAAATCAATAATGAGACCAACTGCATCAGTTTGCAATCAATTATGTATCAATGGCCTTTGTTACAACCCTTAATTTAAGGGAGATGCTGTTTGGTTTTATTTCTTGCAGATGAAGTGGTTAGCTTCAAGCTTCTTCCGTGCCTTTGGCCACAGTGCTAATCATTTTCAAATCTTCTTTCAAATTGAAGGGGATTGTATTTATACTGATTTGAGTTCAGACTTGGGAGCTGATTTAAAAGGCAGCAGATGCAGAGAATTTTCAATCTTCTAAACTATTGGTCTTATGCAGCTCACCTCCTCAATATTAGGTCTGCGGCCTGACGTTTTGTTATGATATTTTGACTTGCTTGAATAAATGCCCTCAATTACTCATTCCAATTGCAAGCGTGAAGGAATATGACCCCGAATTTTTTCTTGGTTTTCATTTATTGAAGAAGAAAATTGTTAGACTTGGTTGTCACATATCATTGTGGTACTGGTCTTGTTCCACGTATTGTTGATTTGGAGGTTTTTGTTATAATTCTTATTCAGAAAAGAAAAACAAAATGTCTATTATATTGTTTTGCCAGTTGATTCCAATAATACCTCGGGCTTAGAAAGTGGCTTTTGTTAGTGGTTCCAATTTAAAATAAATAATAAAATTAAAAAATTGGAGGTTTACCATGGTTTATGTCAACAAGCTTGCAGAGAAATCTTGGCAATGGCAAGTATCATTCACCCGATCACTTATTGACACGTACATACCTTGATGTGTTAGTAATCTTGACTTTTAATATTCTGTTATATACGATAACCCTTATTCGGAAGCTATTATTTGCGTTTAGGCTTCAACCAAATGATTTGAAGGCATCTCATCACTATTCACCAATATCTTAGCTTTCCCTCACATCATCATATTATTGTTCTTGCTTCGTCCGCAAAGAACTGAATAGGGGAGAAGGAACCTATTCTTCGAACAGGCATGCCTTCTTTAAATCATCTCCTTCAACACCAATCGCCTCCTTCATCTTTTTCACAACCATGGAGGATTTGAACATTCTTGCCGCAGATTGTGTTGTCGTATCATGCTGCTGCCAGTGCTTGATGCTGCAAATTCTTGTATTTGTGTTGCTGAAGCTTCCCTGCAAGCTGGTGAGGAAAATAAGAGAATATGCTAAGAAAAAGCTCCCTCAAACGAAGAGAAATGATAAAGTGACGCAGAGAGAAATCGGTTCTTACAAAGATGTTTTTGTGAGAATTCATGAACAATCTTTTAGAACTCAAGCAGAGATGGCACTAAAAGATGATGCAGGACACAATTGTGGTTGTTGTATGGATGAGGTTGAAAAGGTGATGCAGGAGTTTTATAAGAAAGGAGAGTTTGCATTTGGAAGCTTTTGGGGTAGAAAGGGGTGGGGTGTTCCTTCAATTGTCAATGATCATAATGACGATAGTTTTGTACGATATAAAATCATTAATTTAGTTGGATCCTTAAGCTGTGAATAAAATTGCCACATATATGTTATGATGAGCTGCTCTGAAGTCTGGCCTCGAATTTGGTCCCATAGAATACCATGATTTATATCAATATGGCCCATAGATCTGGTTTTACAAATCTCTTTTCCCTAGAAACTGTCCTTTGCATTTTCATAATTTCTCTAATAAGCTCATACGAGTTTGTAGTTGTACATTTTGTACCCATAAAACAAAAGTTTCGTACCAAAAAAAAATAAAAAAATAAAGATTTGTGTACCTGTCATCTGCAAGCGTGGCATTGTAAGACATACCAAATTAGTATTTTGTCTCTTGTACAAAAATGAAAATAATAACAAAAATTTAGTATTTTGTTTTTTCATTTAACAGTTGAAAAATATTAAATACTTTTAATGCAATGATAAGTTATATAGGTTTGCTGAAATATTTTTTAAATATTTTCTTACAAATTAAGCTTTCTTTTTTCACATCAAAATATTATCATTTCTCAAGCTGCCGGAGATAATTTTATCTCCGGTTACTAAATCATAACCGTAAAGATCGATCAATGGTGATAAAGGAAGAGAGAGAAAAAGGAAATCATAACCATTCAAAAGTGAATCAATAAATATAAGGAAATAAATAATTAAAACGACGTAGTTTTGGTGTGGCCGGAGATAAACTTATCTCAAGCAGCTTGAGAAATATTTTTCCCATATATATATATATATATATGGGTTTGTTTTTTCTAAAGTTACTTTAGATAACTTTATCTAATGTTCATCGAAACGACGTCGTTTTGGGACGGAAATCATTGTGTTTTTGTAATTTTAATTTATTTAAGAGTTATATTAGTCTTTATCATTCTAATTTTGTAACCCCAAAACGACATCGTTTCGACGAACATTAGACAAAGTTGTCTAAAGTAACATTAGATACTTTTTTTCCAATATATATATATGAGGAAGGTTATACTTACAACCTTTTTTTGTTTATAACATTTCACAACCATATCTTAACCGTTGATTTCCGCCAATCAACGATTGTCATTTATTGCGAATTAATAATTAATTAATAAATTTTATTTGCGAAAATCTTAACCGTTAATTGACGGAAATCAACGGCTAAGATATGGTTGTAAGAAGTTGTAAACGAAAATAGATTGTAAGTATAACATTTCCCTTATATTGTTTTTCTCTCAAACAAAATAGTTAACACATAATCCAAACAATTATTGATAATCCAAACGAAACATCATTTTTAAACCACTTTTTAGTTAACATATCTAAACATAAAGTTATTTTTATTATAATCCATTTCATATAAAAAATTAATTATACATATAATCTATGATGCACGGACACTGACACAGGACATGAGACACGACACAACATGCCGACACGTTAATTCCAAAAAATGTCATTTCGACACGTTGAGACACATTTTAATATTAAATAATATTTTTAATATATATAATACAATTTATATTTAATACATATAACAGCCCATAATAAGTCATATAATCAATCAAATATTCAAATTTTATAATATAGATATAAACAAACAAAAAATTCGTACCTTATTAGTTTTTCATGTCAAATTTCATAACAGAAAAAAATTGATTTATAAATTATTTGTTTATGTTTAATTAATAAATTAAAAGTAAGACCTAAAAAAAAAACATGTTGGATGCGTGTCTGAGAGTTGACTGCGTGTTGAAAAAATGTGTCGGAACGTGTCGAAGAGTTGATCACGTGTCTAAAAATGTTGAAGTGGCGCATGGGATTAGGAATATAATTGTAAGCCACAGATTAGTAATTATTGTTGAAGTGCATACTCATTTTCTTCTTTTAGATCGAAATGATGTAGTTCCAATTCACTATGTCGTAAGCCACATATGATGTTCAGTAGTTGTCGAGATCCTTGGTGAAAAATGCTTCTTTTCTTGTTTAGGCACCGACAAGAAACACAAGCAAAAAGGGAAAAAATGAAAACCAGTTCCGTCGGGGGGGGAGGGGGAGCAGAACTGGTTGGAGGAGAAAAAAGAGTTTTGCTGGAGGGTGGGGGTGGAACTCAAACCCGCTGGGCTCCCCCCGCGAAAGACCCACAATGGTAAACTATATCAACCCAATATCAAATTGGGATATTAAGGGGTAAAAGATCCCAAATGGGTCAAAGAGCCTAAGTTTAGACACAAAAATAGAGCCATCCTCGGTCCTCCTTTTTCAAACACCCAAAGAAGCCATTTTTATGAGGCAAAAAATCTTGAAATTCATAGATGGAGCTAGGGTTCATCAAATCAAGAAGTTCCAAAGCCAAAACCACTTAGAATCTCATTCTTAGTAAAGTCCATCTTATTTTCGATCAAGAATATTTGTGGAGAAATATCTTCACCTTCAAAGTTTAGGTGGATTTTCAGATTTTTGGTGTTTGGGGAGTTTTCGAGTGCATTGGAGCTTGGGTTTAGCTTCTCCTAGCATTCTAAGGTTATTCACGATAAGTTTCCACCATTCAACTCATGTTTTCAAGGATTTTTAAAGAATCTAGGATTTTATGTATATAAATTTATAAAATTTTGATGTTGGGTGATTAGATGATGGAATGGTATAGCTCCGTTTGTAAAATATGTTTAGGATTGTTTCTTGATAAAGAAAAAAAATTAAGAAACCACCACTTGAACCAATTTTGAAAAATTGTTCATGAACCTATGAAGGAATTTCGAAAATTCTGTTTGATGTGGGATTTTGATGGATTATGTAACAACCCGTCAATTAAAATGTGACACACTTGGGTGATTATAACACCTCGTAATTCTAAAACACATAATTATGGTTAAAATATGGATTAAAGGGTAAGATTAGTAAAAATCCTGAATTCTGAGTCAAAACACGTAAAAAAGGTAAAATAAATAAATTGCCAAACACGTAACCGTAGGAAATGAAATGTGAGTAGAAGGTCTCAAATGGGAAAACTAACCCTGGAAATGGATTTAGAACGAAAAATTGAATGGTTAGGAAAATTTCTGGAAAATTGATGAATAGTATTTTTACCAGTTAAAAATATAGCGGCATAGTTGTACCAAAAAGCGTGTCGAGTGAATTTTGAGCTCTAGGCTTGGAAATAAGTTGGAAAAAGTATATAGCAATAAGATTTATGATTTCTGATGGAATTGATTGAAATTAGGGTTTTTGGAAAAGCGTGCCCACAATGCACATAACAGCTTAAAACTGTGATTTCACCGAACGACCGGAAAAATCCGGATTCATCTACTCAAGGAAAATTAAAGGACCCACTCCACTTCTAAATAGTCTAGGAATTAATTGGAGTTTAGTGGTTTAAGCGGAGATTTGAATTAATTTGAATTGCACGAGGTAGCAGTAAGACCCACTCCACTTAAGTTATAACATGACACAAGCACTATTCATCATCTTCCTCCCTCCCTTCTCTCTTGAACCAGCGGCCTACCCCCTTCATTGTGCAAGTTTTCCTTTGATTTTTCCTCCACCAAATCTCCACCAAAATCAAAGTTCCACTACATGAAAATTTAAGTAAACATCCATTCAAACCCAACCATGATACTCCCAAGCCTTGAAACTCACTAATTTGGGGGGAAAATTGGACCCATGCCCACGGTTTTGTGAAGAAAAAAGGGTGTTCTTGGTGTTGGTTGATCAAGCCATTGCTTGAGTATTATGTGGAGGAGTCTTAGGCCTTAATCCTTGGTAAGTTTCAACACTTTTCATTAGATAATTTGGTTGATTGATTTCATGAACCCTAAGCTATGTGTTTGTGGAATGATGTGATTTGGGGACCTCAAATTGAAAAAGTGTATTAGATAAATATGTCTTAGAATGATGTTTTATGATGATTGAGCTCATAAAATTTATTGAGGAAAAATATGATAACTTAGGCAAATTTTGTGGTTGATATTCATGACTTTGTAAATGGAGATTGTGGTGTGATTGCATAATTGAGTTGTGGAGTAGTTGTATGGGTTAATTATAGGTTGTATGGTGAAATTGAAGTGTGGAATTGAATTGAATATCCCTTGGTATGTTCACATGCATAATTCGGCCAAGTGAGGAAAAATGGGGGAGGATGTTGTAAAATTCGTGTAATTGGTGTTGTGAGGATTTGAACCAAGTTTAAATAAGTTGTGGGTTGGTGTGATGCATATGAATTGGAAGCTAAATCATTGGATGAGTGTGGATTATGAATTCGGCCTAGAAGAGGAATTTTAAGGAAAATGGTCTTGAGTTATAATTGAATGGAATTAAGGACTTGAATTGGTGTTGTGGTGGGCTTGGGAAACCATGGGAACATTGTAATAAAACTAACAACATGATTGTGTAATTGGGCCTTAATGGTCGAACCCTACGTGTGGGAGTGAGGGAGTGTTTGCTTTGTAATTCAGCTTGATTTGCAATTGAATTGATGATCCTATGTATGATCATTGTAGGTTACCTCCCACGGACGTAATCCTTGAGGTAAGTATTTATGTCAAATTGCATGAATGCTAGAATGACCAAGTGAGTGGTGTTTATATGGTTCTAATGAACGCGAGAATGACCTTGTGTAGGCATTTCTGGGTGGACTGAGTATTGTGTAACTTGCATTGGAGCTACCTAGCTTGAGAGTTTCAATAAGGTAATCTCTTGGTATTGGGATTAATCCCCTTGTGTTCTTCACCATGCTAATTGGGGTAGTGGTTGGAGGTGTATGTCAATGATGTGATTATAACGTACTCATGCATATATATATATATATATATACATATATATATATATATATATAGGGACAGGATCATCTTACACCGGTGTAAGAATAATAAGTCTTATACTAGATCTTAACCATTGATTTTCTGCATCTAACGATTAAGATTTATTAGGTCTTACTCATTAATTAATTTTTAATTTCCAATAAATCTCAACCGTTAGATGCACAGAAATCAACGGTTAAGATTTGGTGTAAGATTTATTATTCTTACACCGGTGTAAGTTGATCATATCCCATATATATATATATATATATATATATATATTGGGTACATAGGATGTACCATATCTCTTACCAGTGGATAGATTGCATTATGACGTTACAGAC